ACCTTCGTCGTCACTCCTTTCCTTACGTATGCTTCGTCGAAATTGTTCTCGCTGTAGGCACACCAGGAAATCAAGTCAACCCTCATGCCGTCTGCTTTTCGCTTGAGGGATTTTCACCTCGATTCTAGATGTCAACCCGCGTGAACTATTGCCATGTCTTTGCACCGTTCATCCGGCACAACAGATTTAGGAACATGAAGCATTTTGAAGTTTCGATCATGGACAGCCATCATTGACGGGTTGCGGTCATTGCAACCGTTTGAACCTTCCGAGCGAGCTCCGGAGCTGTGTCCAGGCCTTCAGTTCAGCAGAAATACGAATCATGCACGCAAGGGTTGCTTTATTGTACACACAGATACGACCTCTACCAAAAGGAGGATGTGAACCATCTCTGAGAAACTTAGATGACTTAAAATTAATTTTACGCCGTAACATAGTTTCTCATCAATACTTGCACAAATCTAATAGTTCCTCGATCGATTTGCAGGTTGTGTCACCATTCAACTCATTTTTGCTAACGTCCCTTGTATGATTTACTTTCGCGATGAATGCGCTTGACGAACGAAACTCAACTGTTCTCCAGTAGTCTCTGTTCTCCAATTTCCATCTCCACAGTGACCAAACAACCTGACCTTTGGAGCGCGTTCTCCGATGACCGAATGAACGTTTTTGACCGAGCAAAATCTAGTTTGAAATTCTTGATGCCAACCGGTTGTCTCTCAGATCAGCCAGTACTTGTTCTTTCAGCGTCTTAGAATGCAGAAATCGCATATGAATGCTCGGAGAAATGCTCTGCACTTTTTCGCTCCATCGCTCTTTACTTGACGATCAGGTTGGTCTATTCGTTTTTGGTAACAAACCACCATTGAGCGTCGCAGATCACGGTTCAGCAGAATCATACATGGCCCACTGTCCACTAATGGTGTGTTAATACGATTAAGGCTGACCGATGCCGTCTTGCTCTTTAGCAAGTTCGTACGACACACATAAAGGCTGATGTAAGCATGTATTGTGACTTCTCTAACATTTTGCTATTCGTAGCGAAGTTCCTCTGAAACATCATATGCACGAACCTTTAACACATGTTGTTAATATTTTAATGAAATTGCTCAGACAGCATTTAATAACGAAGAATAAGCATGCAAGTATCAAATTACATCGAACAGACGATTACAGATCAACGTCATTGCTCTCGTTCTGCATCTTGTGATTTTGTTAGAACGACGAATAAACAATCGAGTGTTCATAGAAGACCGTTAGCTTCCCTTTCGAAAGGTGAAGTCGTTGAAACTGCAGAGTTCATCTCAGAAAATATCATTTTTCGTCTGAGACAGAGTGCAGCGTTTTTTCTATAACCCACGAGATTAATCTACAGATTGTCTTGTTTCGAAATCGTTTGTCGTAGCTTTGGCACAGCCCGTAGTTTTTCGTACAGATAGATCACCAGCAGTACAGTGAGCATAACCGGAACCTGAATGATGGTCACCATGCTGGCCCCTGTCCAAAGACCTACCTGACCACCAAAGTCACTGATGAAACCATCTAGTTGCATTGCCCAGTCCTGGGTAATCGTAGTGTACTCGAGATCGGTAAAAGCGATCTGCAGGTACACCAAGCTGTCAGGCGTTATGTTATACCGACTGAGGAAGCCAAAACTGGGCGTGTACAGCTTCATGGTGCTCAGCTGGACCCCGTACTTCCAATGACTGCACGACGTAAAGCACTGATTGGAGCATTCCTCCCAAGCTCCTTGGGCGACCTCATCGTTGGTCACGTTTGGGACAACGCAAGAGTTGATTTCTTTCGTCGTACAAAAGTGGGTTTTTTCGAGAACCTCTGTCTTGATGAAGCGTGGTTCCTGTGCTAGGATACAGCCGCAACGACTGAGCGTCTCCCACTGGTAACAGTCCATTTGACAGGCGGCCACGGAATATGTTAAGTTGAAAACTTTGAAGTTCATTTCGTCGTCAGAAACACACGGCTGCTTCTTGGGACCCGAATCAACGTCCAGGTACTCGTCGAATTCGGCTGAGAGTGCCATCTTGGTGTAAAGACCGCTTTGGACGTTGATATACTTGAAACTGTAGGGGTTGTACAAGTGATGGATGCTGACGATGACACCTTCTGTTTTAGGTCGCAGGTTTCTCTGCACGGGATAGTTGGTTTTCTGCGAGTTCATGATCAGAATCAAGCCCTGACCTGGTATCTGTTGCTTCATGTCCTTCAGTTCGACCATGTAGCATTTTCCCCAATTTGGGTTCAGTATTTCTACGACAATGTCCTTGCAACGCAACGAATGCAGTAGTGTGTCTCGGAACGCGCAGCTGAGGAAGATGTCGTCGATGCTGAAACTCATGTCCATGTACAGCTTGTAGGTGTGAGTGAAGTTGCTGAGATCTAGGGTATCGTTTTCTTGATCGGAAGACACCGACCTGCTGTATCGTTGATGCTCAACGGACGGTGGGGACGGATAATCTTCGGGGAACAGCTCCCTCAACAAGTCATCATGTCGGCTCGATTTTGGATCATGAGGCTTGAGGTGCTTCGTCGACGAACTAAAAGACGTGCTACGCTTCGATTTGCTCTTCTGCATCTTCTTCATCTCCATGCTAGACGCAGAGGTTACGCTCTGGCGTATGGCAACGGCGGCGTCGGCAGCCCACGGATGCTGGTCCAAGTACTTCTGGTTAATGGACACCGGTAAGCAGATCTCGACAAATGGGAAGTCCATCTTGCGGACGGCTGTCACCGACAGTTCGGTGACGATTGGCGTGTTGTAGTAGTTGTCGATGATCTTGTAAATTTCGTACGAAGCGGTGACGGCCGAGAATAAGAGCAACGAAATCCAGAACCACTTGCCATATACGGTGTTTGACTCGAGAAACTCACTAAGGCCGGCCACATTCACCTTCCAGAAGCTCTTGTCCAGGCGAGAGATGGCGCTCTTCTTTCGCAACAATGGTTTCGGCGGTCGCTGCGCCTCCTCATTTTCAGATTTATTTAAAAACTGGTGTCCCACACTTGTGTCCGACAGCTCGGTGGAAGAGTCCGCGAAAAACTGCGGCTTTATCTTCTCCTTTCGTCCGTGCGTACCTTGACTGTTCATCTTCTCGGTCTTAAGATCCATCGCCAGGCAGTAATTGACAAGTCAATCTGAAACAAATGTACCGTAGTCAGGATTGACATCAGGAAACTCAAATTCCGATTTTGCAATAGTCAAATATTTATGAATATTAATTTAAGATGCATGACGAGGTCCTAAGTTGTTTACAGCTATGGTTTCAAAATCTTTATAGTCTCAACGATGGAGGTGAAGGCAGCAGATGTTCAGAGAGCGTATCTGCCAGGACTGACAAACTAGACCTAATAGAACCGTATGCATTCATGGATGTGACAACAACCTAAAAAACAAGCATTGTGTTGCCCTTGAC